AAGTAAAAAAGGCTAGGAAGTTGCATGGGATTTAATTAAAAAAATGCCTCAATAGTGATGATGTGAGTGAATTTAAGGCCGCAAAGGGTTTGGGTTTGAGAGTTTTAAAGGGCGTAGTGGCAAAAATAGTGTGTAAGGCATGTGAGGTGCCAATTCGGACCACAAAGCAGCTGAAAAATATGTGCAGGAATTCAAGGAAGTACATAGAAACTGAAGGCTGAAACTAAACAAGTTTTTAAATTGTGATGAAACGGGCCCTGTTTTGGAAGAAAATGCCAAGCAGGACCTACATTACCAGGAGGAAAAGGCATCCCAGGACATGCCTATGAAAGCAGGTTACTCTGTTTGGTGTTCCCAATGCACGGTGATTGCAAAGTGAGCCTTTATTAGTGTATCACTGAAACTCCCAACCGTCAGGCAAAAGAAAAGTCCAAGGAAAATTGTGTGTGCTGTGGAGGGCAAACAGTAAGGAGGGTCACTGGGACTTTTTTATGACGGTTACACCCTGCATTTGCCCCCAATGTGAAAGATTACCTAACTGAAAAAGAAATTAAACTTTAAATGCCCCCTGGTGTTTTGGGCAATGCCCCTGGCATCTACAGACATGGCCGAGGACTTTTGGGGACTGAAATTCATTAAGGTGGTTTTTTTCCTCCAATACCCTCCTCTCCCGCAGCCATGGACCCGAGGTTTTGCAAAAAATTCAAAACTTACACAAAAGCTTTTTGAAGGTGTTTGTAGTGACCCCCAGAAACTCAACTAAAGAGATTTTGGAGAGATCACTTTAAAATCCTCAACTGGTAAACCTTTTTAGGTAAGCTTGGGAGGGAGGATAAAAAGGCCTTGAACTTTTTGGAAGAAATGTGGCCAGAATGGTAGACCAAAGGGGTTTTTTAAGGGTTTCAGGCTAACCCTGAGAAACCTATGCCAGTTGGGAAACCATTATGGATTGGGGAAAATCCTTTGGGGTTGGAGGTTAGGGGGGTGATTTTGGGAAAAGTTTGGGGGGGAGGACAAGAAGAACTAACATGATGGCTGATAGATCAAATTCAAAAAGCAAGAGGCCCGACCTGAGGGAAAAAGGTTCGAAGGAGGGGAGAGAGAAATTGAAGAAGTTGCCTACTTCAAAGATTAAGGAGATCTGTGCAAAGTGGCTTGAAGTGCAAACCTTCATGGATGAAAATCACCCTCACACAGCTATTGCAAGCCGTGCTGGTGACTATTACACTGACAATGTTGTGAAACACTTTAGGGAAGTCATAAAGGAACGAGAGGTACAGGCCACTATGGACAGATATGTTGTGCGATAGAAGTCCAGTGACTCTGAAGCTGGTCCTAGTGGCATTAAAAGAAGAAGGGAAGTAACCCCAGAAAAGGACTTGACACCTCAAGTCTTAATGGAAGGGGATTCCCCTTCTAAACACTAACACACACTCCTCCTCCCATCCCATCAATCATCACCAGATCTTCAATAAAAGTAAGTGTCATGTAATTGTGCATGCCTTTTTTAGTTTGTGTGTATTAAAATTAATATTTCATGTGGAAAAAAAAAAATTTTCATACTTTGGGGTGTCTTGAACGGATTAATTTGATTTCCATTATTTCTTATGGGGAAAATTCATTCGCATAACGATAATTTCGCATAACAATGAGCTCTCTTGCACGGATTAATATCGCTATGCGGGGGTCCACTGTATATTGACCTCTTTTAGCCGCTGTTATTCTTTTCCATCGCCTGTAAAGGGAGCGCCTGTCTCTTTCTATTTTACATCTACTCCTCCTTTTTCTTAGAGGAATAAGCCTTGTGCATACATCGAGTGCCACCAAGTTAATCTGTTCTAGGCATAAGTTGGGGTCTGTGTTGCTTAGTATATCTTCCCAGCTTATATCGGTTAGGACTTGGTTTACTTGGTCCCACTATGTTTTTGTTATTGAAGTTGAATTTGGTGAATGCTCCCTCGTGACTAGTCTCATTATGTCGGTCTGGGGCTCCACGCATACATGTCTGAACCTCAATTATGTTGTGATCTGAGTATATTGTTTTTGATATGGTGACATTTCTTATCAGATCATCATTGTTAGTGAAGATGAGGTCTAGTGTATTCTCCAGTCTAGTAGGCTCTATTATTTGCTGGTTTAAATTGAATTTTGTGCAGAGATTTAAAAGCTCGTATGAGTGAGAGTTTTCATCAGAGCTGCCTCCTGGTGTTATTACTGCAACAATATTATTTGCTATATTCCTCCATTTTAGGTGCCTTAAGTTGAAATCCCCCAGGAGCAAGATGTTGGGTGCAGGAGCTGGAAGATTTTCCAGACAGTGGTCAATTTTTAATAGCTGTTCCTGGAATTGCTGGGATGTTGCATCCGGAGGCTTGTAGACTACCACAATGACTAGGTTTTGGTTCTCGACCTTTACTGCTAAAACTTCCACTACAGCGAAGTTCTGGCAGGTCGTGTTTGTTTGGTTGAGTGCTGAGCAAACAGTTGACTACCGAGCAATTTTTTTACCAAACCAAGTGTTCGAATACAGAATTGTTCGAGTAGGGAGCTGTTCAAGTACCGAAGTTCCACTGTATTTTTAAACATTTATACATTAGTGTACTGTATATTGTAATAAACAGAATTAAGAAAATCAGCTCTAATATGCATCATTTAACCCTTAAACTGTCCAAATGTAAATCTACGTCCATGTGTGGGGGGCTCCAAACGTAGATCTTCGTTTTTTTTACATGCTTTCAAATGGGGAAAATCAAGGTCAGAGCGCTATGCACATGAACATAGATCTACGTCTTGGACAGTTTAAGGGTTAAGTGTGCATACTGGTCAGAGAGCTCGTCATAAGTCCAAGTCGTCGGCAAACAAGTATGATGGTAAGTGAGAAGAGGCTGTACGTATTATTATTCTGAACTTCCTCCAGTTCCTTAACATGCTTTCTTAGTTGTTGGTACCATACTGGTGCTGTGTATCTTGTAGGTTATACCCATGTCTCACCTAAGACTCATTCTCTAGTGTTGAAATACATAGGATCTTAAACTCAAGTACTAGTATGGGGCATCTCAGACAAAATATAAAAGTTTAAGTGTAATAAAATGAATTACAAGAATGAAAAACTAACTCAAGAACAAATCAAATCTTTATAAAGGCCCTCTTTGAATGAGAAAAAAAAAAAAAAGACATGATAAAATTTACAAATTCATAAAAAAAATATAAAAAAACAAAATTAAAGCCAGCAACTGAGAGAATGAGAAACTGTTTCAATTATGGAGAAAGACGAAAAAGACAACGGAACTACTAAACATTCTACGTATATACTCCAAGTGGTACAGTACATGGCTGAACTGGACACAGACTTATTTCCTTTATAGGTTGGTGCCTCTCCCATCAGCGTAATATAATTACCAGTAGTTTGCCAAAATGCATTTAATTAGTGGTTTTCTTAAGCCTTCAATCACAATATATCTGTATAATAAGACCAAAATGTAAATTACTCTTAACTAGAATGTATAACTACTGTAACTTCTTGGCATGTCTCATAAGAATAAAAAATGAAATCAACTTCTTTTTTTTACATACTGTATATAGTGAAGATAACTAAGTGGCTTTTAAGTACATGATGATGATGAATGATCATGATGAATGATCATGATGAATGATCATGATGAATGATCATGATGAATGATCTATTTCTACACAAAACAATTTATACAGAACTAGCTGACATACATATGTAGAAAGCCACTTGTTATGCAGAGCATTTCGGGCAACTTAGGTTAGTCTTGTTCCCCAGGATGCGATCCATACTGGTCGACTAATACCTAGGTACCTACTTGAAAATAAAATGTGGCTTATTTCCATCTAGGCTCTTCAGTCCTCTTCCCAGGATGCAATACACAAAAACTGCCTAACTCTTAAGTACCTATTTACTGCTAGGTGAAGAGGTCAGTGTGTGAAAAAAGACTTGCCCATACATCTTTTTCTGCCCAAGATAAAACCAATATTCTTTCAGTTGTGAGCTGAAATAACATTCAGATTATCTCTGATGGATAACATTTTGGCATGTATGCAGAAAGCCCTTTGAACGAGGTAATTTTCTAAATTAATAGCACTGGAACTGTACTGAATATAAGTGAACAAACTACAAAACTAGTGCTGCAAGACAGACATGTGTAAAATGATTGAAATTTGGATATAATGTGATGATTAATGGGCTGTATGAAGGCTAATTTAGCAAGTTTATTCAGGTACATATCAATTCAGCTACACATATTATCATACATAGTGACATATGTGTAAATTACCCAGAATAACTAAAAAAAAAAAAAAAAAAAAAAAAAAAAAAAAAAAAAAACTCTAGGTGACTTATTTCCACTGGGGTCCTTTCATGATAATAGCCACTAAATCTTCCTAAATACGGCTTCAGAAACATTGATTTTTTTGGGGGGAAGGGGGGACACTATTTCCCCAACTGCCTTGACTTGGGGCATATATTTATTACTGTCACAAGAATAAAAATAAAAATAAATCTGTGCAGCATTGTATTTTACACTTTTTGATTTTACCAAATTAAAATTAACCTAAAAACTATTTTTAAATATATACAAAAAAGAATAATATGCAATAGTAAAAACTATAAAACCCACAAATAATATCTCACACTATTTCAAGGATATGATTCATTAGCAACTAGAAATGGGTGATTTTTTTCCCTTTCACACATGCATCTACCAAACATTACAATATCTACTTGTTAAAAAAGTCAACGTCAAACTCAAAAAAAATTAATGAGCTGAGGTTTAAACTACACTAGGGCTCTCATTATTATTATAATCAAAAAGAAGCGCTAAGCCACAAGGGCTATACAGCACTAGGGCTCTCAACAAGCAGCCAATATAACAAGATATCGATTCTAAGTTACCAGAGCAGTCATGGCTACGAGAGAGAGCTGAGGGGGGAGGAGACAGCCCCACCGTATTACACTCCGGGGGGATTATTATACTCACCCAGACACACCCCGAGAAGCCCCAGAAACACCAAACACCCCCCAGTCTTCATTTCGGCCGCAAAATACACCGGGAAAACCCAACGAGGAGCACCGTAGAAGCAGATCCTCACCCAGGAGAGGGTCGATGATGTCTGCTGCACCGTCCCGGACGGGGACGTCGACGGCTGCCAAGTTTACTTTAGTTAACCCTCGCATCACCTCTAATTGTCTCATAAACCAGGAAAAAACTGTGATTGCGGTTTTAATCATGGCCTCTAAATCTTCCGTATATACCAGGTCGTGTGTCTACCTATAACCATTATAATACGTCAGCGTTAACACATGTGGCACGCTGGTCTTACGTCATATTCAACACCACTAATGAAGGAGGTAAATTCAAAGCTTCAAAGGTTACCCAGGTAAGCATACAGGTAAACAAGCAAGTAAACAAGTAAGCAAGTAAACAAGTAAGCAAGAAAGAAAGCAAGCAAGCAAGCTATTAAGTAAGCAAGCAATTAAGTAAGCAAGCAAGCAAGGGAGCAAGCAAGAAAGTAAACAAGCAAGTAAACAAATAAGAAAACAAGTATGCAAGTAAACAAGTAAGCAAGAAAGCAAGCAAGTAAGCAAGCAAGCAAGTAAGCAAGCTATTAAGTAAGCAAGCAAGCAATTAAGTAAGCAAGCAAGGAAGCAAGTAAGGAAGTAAACAAGCAAGTAAACAAGTAAGTAAACATTTAAGCAAGTAAGCAAGCAAACAAATAAAAAAGCAAGCAAGCACACAAGCAACCAAGTAAGAAACGAAGCAAGTACACAAACAAAGAAGAAAACAAGCAAGCAAACAAACTAACAAGTCAGTAGTGAAACACGTTGCTATTCATGCCTGAGAGAAAGCGCTAAATTCGTAAGGGTTCACACGGCGCCTGGGGGTTAAGAATGGAAGGCACTAAGGTTTGTTCCAAGGAATTGGAGCACAGGTCCACTTCCTTAGATCACAAGAGTCTCGCACCAGCATCAAAACTCTCTCTCTCTCTCTCAATGGAAATAAGTCACTCTGTCTGACTTTTTTGGGTTATCCTAGGTTCTCTACACACATGCTGCTATGTATGATAATTCTATGTAACTGTATTTGTGTATACCTGAATAAACTTACTTACTTACTTACTCTCTCTCTCTCTCTCTCTCTCTCTCTCTCTCTCTCTCTCTCTCTCTCTCTCTCTCTCTCTCTCTCTCTCTCTCTCTCTCTCTCTCTCTCTCTCTCTCACTCACTACTGGACTACTGTTTTTTTTTTTACACAGGGTTTGACAAGGTTAAGGATCCCTAGCTTTATTGACAGCTATTTACAGGTTAAGGATTCCTAACTTTATTGGCAAGCTAAGAGCTGTTACCTACATCAGCTCATTTGAAAACATTTTTATTGTTGTGAGACATACAAGTAGGGAACAGGATGAAGTTGGAGCCATCTGTGGGCCAGCATTTTCATTTGATCAACTGACTTTATCTCGTTGACATCATTATGCTGTACGAATGTGTTCCATACTCAAGTCATCCTGGGTATATATGATCTCAGATGGAGTGATATTCTGGAGAAGGGTACAACCAGAGTGAAGTTGCTGCTTTCTGCCCGTCTTGTGGCATAAAAGCTTGTTTCACGCTGTCCTCGAAGTGGATCCAAGTGTGGTACTTTGACAATATTGGTCTTGTACATAACAGTAAGGCCACCCACATCCCTCCTATGTTGAAGGCTCTGCTGAAATGACAGATCTATCCAGGATGGGTCCAGGCGAGAGATGAGACGTCTTGCTCTGTTCTCTACTCTGTCAAGCAGTCGCAGATGAGAGGGGGGGGGGGGGGTAGGCAAACCAAGAAAGTGGAGCATACTCAAGGTGTGAGCGTACTTGTGCCTCGTACAGAATCTTGCAACCCCTACTGTCAAGCAGATGGGAGGTACGGCGAAGTGCTGTAAGCTTCCTGGCTGCCTTGTTTGCAAGATTTACAACATGGTTCTTCATGGTTAGTTTGGAGTCAAATTTCACCCCAAGGATATCAACTTCTTCTCCAGGTGCCAACACCCTCCCATTCATCCTTACTACTGCACCAGCATTACCATCATGGTGCCTAGAGACGATCATCATTTGCATTTTCTCAGGTGCAAATGTTACTTGCCATCTATTTCCCCAAGCTGATATAGCTCTCAGCTGGTGATTGATGTAGCTTAGAGCAGCTGCAGTTCTTCTCTTGGATAAGTGAATGTCAGTGTACAGTCGTCTGCATATGCATGTGATTCTGGGATGAGATGAAGAAGGTCGTTGAAGTAGACATTCCATAACAATGGTCCCAGCACGCTTCCTTGTCTCTCTCTCTCTCCTTCTCTGTCTCTGTCTCTCTCTGTCTCTGTCTCTCTCTGTCTCTGTCTCTCTCTGTCTCTGTCTCTCTCTGTCTCTGTCTCTCTCTGTCTCTGTCTCTCTCTGTCTCTGTCTCTGTCTCTGTCTCTCTCTCTCTCTCTCTCTCTCTCTCTCTCTCTCTCTCTCTCTCTCTCTCTCTCTCTCTCTCCTCTCTCTCCTCTCTCTCTCTCTCTCTCTCTCTCTCTCTCAGACAAATGTGGCAAGATACATAAATATAGTATATTGCAAGTAGACGAAACGTTGTCAATAAAGAATCGTGTCGTACTACATCACCAAAGCAAGCAAATAAGTAAGCAAGAAAGTGTATAAGCAAATATATGAAGGATCCGTATTGACTTCCATCAGGCAGGAGGTGCAGCATCACCCAACCAAAAGGGAACCGAGAGTACGCTAAGAGACAACGCAAGTGTCAGGGGCCCAAGACTGTTCAACTACCTCCCTGCATACATAAGGGGATTATCCAGTAGACCCCTGGCTGTTTTCAAGACCCCTGGATGTCTTCAAGACCCCTGGCTGTCTTCAACACCCCTGGCTGTCTTCAAGCCCTCCTGACTGTCTTCAACACCCGTGGCTGTCTTCAAGACCCCTGGATGCCTTCAACACCCCAGGCTGTCTTCAACACCCCTGGCTGTCTTCAAGCCCTCCTGACTGTCTTCAAGGCCCCTGGCTGTCTTCAAGACTCCTGACTGTCTTCAACACCCCTGGTTGTCTTCAAGACTCCTGACTGTCTTCAACACCCCTGGCTGTCTTCAAAACCCCTGGCTGTCTTTAACACCCCTGGCTGTCTTCAACACCCCTGGTTGTCTTCAAGACTCTTGGTTGTCTTCAACGCCCCTGGCTGTCTTCAACACCCCTGGCTGTCTTCAACACCCCTGGCTGTCTTCAAAACCCTTGACTGTCTTCAACACCCCTGGCTGTCTTCAACACCCCTGGCTGTCTTCAACACCCCTGGCTGTCTTCAACACCCCTGGCTGTCTTCAACACCCCTGGCTGTCTTCAACACCCCTGGCTGTCTTCAACACCCCTGGCTGTCTTCAACACCCCTGGCTGTCTTCAACACCCCTGGCTGTCTTCAACACCCCTGGTTGTCTTCAAGACTCCTGGTTGTCTTCAACGCCCCTGGCTGTCTTCAACACCCCTGGCTGTCTTCAACACCCCTGGCTGTCTTCAACACCCCTGGCTGTCTTCAACACCCCTGGCTGTCTTCAACACCCCTGGCTATCTTCAAGACCCCTGGCTGTCTTCAACACCCCTGGTTGTCTTCAAGAGGGAGCTGACAGACACCTAAAGTCAGTATCTGACCAGCTGCGCTGTGGTTCATACGCTGGTTCACGTGCAGCCACCAGTAACAGCCTGGTTGATCAGGTCCTGATCCACCACAAGGCCTGGTCATGGACAGGGCTGCGGGGGCGTTGACCTCCGAAACACCCTCCACGTATACTCCAGGTATATTCCAGGTATACTCCAGGTATATTCCAGGTAAGATAAGATAAGATAAGATTTCGTTCGGATTTTTAACCCCGGAGGGTTAGCCACCCAGGATAACCCAAGAAAGTCAGTGCGTCATCGAGGACTGTCTAACTTATTTCCATTGGGGTCCTTAATCTTGTCCCCCAGGATGCGACCCACACCAGTCGACTAACACCCAGGTACCTATTTGCTGCTAGGTGAACAGGACAATAGGTGTAAGGAAACGTGTCGGAATTTCCACCCGCCGGGAATCGAACCCGGGCCCTCCGTGTGTGAAGCGGGAGCTTTAGCCACCAGACCACCGGGCCAGGTATATTCCAGGTATACTCCAGGTATACTCCAGGTATATTCCAGGTATACTCCAGGTATATTAAAGGTATACTCCAGGTATATTAAAGGTATACTCCAGGTATATTAAAGGTATACTCCAGGTATAATCCAGGTATACTCCAGGTATAATCCAGGTATACTCCAGGTATGTCCTGGACTCAGCTGATATAATTTATTATTAAATATGTCAAATATGTAAGTTAATTTCGTTTAAATGGTGATAAATTTAGGGAAACCTAACGTAATTCAACCTACAATAATCTGATATAACTTAACCTTAATCCACCAGCGGTAGATATGGGAATAGCGCGTTCTTTTACGCTCGATACGTTAATAATAATAATAAACTAACGGATGGTAGGCAGCAGCAGGTGGTGTGTGGCAGCATGCTCATGGTGGTATTGCGTTAAAGGTGTATGTGGAGAGATCAGGTGGTTGTGCAGCAGCCCAAGGTAGTTGAATGAGCGCGCAGGTTGGTGGTGGGCAGCAGCAGGTGGTGGTGGGCAGCAGCAGGTGGTGGTGAGCAACAGCAGGTGGTGGTGGGCAGCAGCAGGTAGTGGTAGGCAGCGTTTGTGGTGGTAGGCAGAACTTGGTGGTGGTAGGCAGCAGCAGGTAGTGTGGCAGCACAGTTGTGTGGTGGCAGCAGCAGGTAGTGGTAGGCGCAGTGTTGCGTAGGCAGCAGCAGGTAGTGGTAGGCAGTAGTTGGTGGTGGTGGGCAGCAGCGGGTAGTGGTAGGCAGCAGTTGGTGGTAGTGGTAAGCAGCAGTTGGTGAGTAGAAAGCAACACGTAGTGGTAGGCAGCAGTTGGTGGTAGTGGTAAGCAGCAGTTGGTGGTAGTAGAAAGCAACACGTAGTGGTAGGCAGCAGTTGGTGGTAGTGGTAAGCAGCAGTTGGTGGTAGTAGAAAGCAACACGTAGTGGTAGGCAGCAGTTGGTGGTGGTAGGCAGCAACAGGTAGTGGTAGGCAGCAGTTGGCGGTGGTGGTAAGCAGCAGTTGGTGGTGGTGGTGGTAAACAGTAGTTGGTTGTGGTAGGCAGCAGTTGGTGGTAGTGATAGGTAGCAGATGTTGGTGGTAAGCAGCAGTTGGTGGTGGTAGGCAGCAGTTGGTGGTGGAAGGCAGCAGCTGGTGGTAGTAAGCAGCAGCTGGTGGTAGCAAGCAGCAGCTGGTGGCAGTAGACAGCAGTTGGTGGCTGTAGGTAACAGCTGGTGGTAGCAAGCAGTAGCTGGTAGCAGTAAGCAGCAGCTGGTGGCATTAGGTAGCAGCTGGTGTCAGTAGGCAGCAGCTGGTGGTAGCAAGCAGCAGCTGTTGGTAGTAGGAAGCAGCTGGTGGTAGCAAGCAGCAGCTGGTGGCAATAGGCAGCAGCTGGTGACAATAAGCAGCAGCTGGTGGCAGTAGGCAGCAGCCGGTGGTGGTAGGCAGCAGTAGCAGCTGGTGACCTGATAGTGGTAACCTGCTGCCGCTGGGGTAGAAGATGCTTGTGGGGAGGGAGGGGAGGGGCATCACCTTTAGGGCAAAGGGCTTAGGCACTCTCACCCTCAGGAGGGTAGGGGGGATGAGGAGGGCAGAGGGTGCCATCCATGTTGGCAGCGCGAGGCTGGGAATTGATCTGCGCTGCCTCGAGTAGTGATGGCTAGGCCAGCGCAGGACAGCACCCCAGCCAGACCAGCAACACACACAACACCTCTTTTTACCTCTTCAGGGCATTTCTACCTCATCTGTGAGTACCCAGGGCAGCCATTAAGCGCCAGAAATATACCCTAGCGCAACACGCTGGCGCTGGGCTTGCTACGGTGCGCAGGAAGTCCAGGTGACAATATTACAGGTAACTTACTGGTACATGTCTTGAAGGGATAGATAGGTACATCCACTGACCAGCTCAGGTTTATAAAATTACACGAATTGTTACAGTCTAAAGTCTATCATTACGTATATTTTTGTATAGTTCTATATGTCTATCATCACTGGTTCATGTTCTATGTACACTTGTAAGTCCCCCAGGTTTTCTAATTACATGCTAATTTTTGCACTGTTATCTACCTGGTCCATAATTACTATCATACTGGTTTGTTTTGTAAGGTGAAGTCCAGGATCTTACCTTAATTTCCTTAATGCATGTGTTGCAGAGGTGTGAGCAAGATCCTGGACTTCACTTCACGATACAGAGTAAATACGAGAGCAATTATGGACCAGGTAGATTATAGTGGAAGAATTAACATGTTATTAGTAGATAGGAAAAAAACGCCTGGTGGATCAGGCTCTGATCCACCAGGAGGCCTGGTCACAGACCGGGCCGCGGGGGCGTTGACCCCCGGAACTCTCTCCAGGTAAACTCCAGGTATGAAGACTTGTGAGTATACCTGGAGTATACCTGGAGTATACCTGAAGACTGTAACTGGTGAGTGTAACATTAAAATTTGATGATTTACGTACATTATACACCATATATAAGATGTTAGTTTTCACGGACAACACATTGCACAGATGACCTGTACGTAGCAGAACGAACCTTATAGCGACGTGTCGCTCCGGTCGTTCCGGTCCAGGTCGGACCTAAACGTCGTCATGAGTTTCGTTATGTGAGGCAGTGTGCCTGGTTACTCTTGAAAGATACATTATGTTCTTGTAAACTCTTGTAAACAACATTGTAAACTCGTGGAAAATAATAATAATAATAATAATAATAATAATAATAATAATAATAAATAATAATAATAATAATAATAATAATAATGTTTATTTCTACCAGTACATGATACAACTTATACAGACCATAACTGACATCCATGACATACTATATAGAAAGTTCCTGGTTATGTAGAGCATTTCCCTCAACTTGGGTTAATTTTGTCCCCCAGGATGCCACCCACACCAGTCACCTAACACCCAGGTACCTACTTACTGCTAGGTGAACAGTGACAACAAATGTCTTAATAAGGGAACACACATCCTAATGTTTCCACCCGTACCGGGGATCGAACCACGGAGTTCAGTGTGTGAGCTGAGTGCGCTACCAACACCTTCATTGAAAACGCTGCTGTTCTTCGACCTTGATTATTTCTAAGTGAATGCATGTGTATCAAACTGATTAAACATTTCGCCTACACAGAAGGTTTGTTCAGTCAAATCCAAAAGAGAGCATTAGAAACGAATTTGACTGAAGAAACCTACTGAGTGGGCAAAACGTTTCGTCAGTAAAGATACCCAACTGTTGCACATGTGTATTAATCTTCAACTTGTTATTTTATATTATTATCAACAACATGGCCAGAGTGAGGACAGGAAATGTTAAGACTCGTGGGAGATAACACCGTCTCACAGCACTTGCTTCTAGTAGCCTCTTCATCCTGGCGTTGCTTCTAGCATTGTCTAGTGTACACGGGTGTAGCATAGTGTACAAAGCTACAACATAGTATACAAAAGGTACAGCATAGTATACAAATGTGCAGCATAGTGAATAGAGTGAACGTTGCATCGTAATACGTGACAGAGAAAAAGCACAGTGTTGATAATCAGTGTGAAGGAATGGAGACCAAACTCAGGGTGATTCATAGTCCTGAATTGTCTTTCCATTTCTGAAGAGCTGTTATGGCATCAGGTATCAGTTACAGTGTCAGGGAGTATACTGGAAGTTTCTTTTGAACTGGGAAGTGTGAATTGGTGAAGTGTAGTCGAGGTTAGTGGTTAAGTCCTTGTATGGGCCTACTGGCCCATACAAGGCAGGTCCTTATCAAAACTACCCATGTATAGCTGCCTGCGTTTTGGAAGAACTGAAATGATCTCAATGAGTACAGTTGCAGACCAAATCGGTCCAAGTTACTTGGTGGATAACATGACTTTCTAAAGTCTGGTGAACTAACGTGATTCCCCAAGCCTTCGAGTAACATGATTTTCAAATTCTTCCTGACGGACCAATGTTCTTCTCCTGAGACTTGATGACAGACCAGAGTTATTTCATAAGTCTTTGGAGAACCAATATTGTCCCTCAGAATTCTCTGAGCACCGTAGTGGTGAAGTCTCAGATTCTTCACCACTACGGTGCTCTTCTCACCAACTCCAAGACTGAGGGACTGATTACCTCATCTTTTGTATATCGTTCTACTGTCCTCTAATTATATCCTAGAATTTGTATTGATAAAGCCACTGGATGGCGAAACGTATACAATAAAGATACCCAGATGTTACACACGTGTCTAATTTTTCACATCTTGTAGAAGACTATGGTTATATCCAGAGCTGGATTAAGATTTTGTAAGCTTCTGGGCTACAGGCACCTGAGGCCTTCACTGATATTTTCAAAGGAAAAAAATAATCACAACAGTCAACAGTTCGTCATATAAGTGAAGTAATAACATAAATATATGCTTACAGCAGTAACTGTCAACACTTTTCACTTATTCTCTGGAGGTCCTCCAGCTGGCGGAAGCCCCTGGGCTGCAGTCTCTGGAGGTCCTCCAGCTGGCGGAGGCCTCTGGGCTGCAGCCCCCTATAGCCCATGCCTTAATTCGGCCCTGGTTATATCAGTATCCCCAGAAGGGCTATCGCAGGATTGCCCAAGAAAATCCTACATCCTCCCGAGGATACGACCCACAACAGTTGACTAACTACTAAGTACATATTTGCTACTAGTATGACCGACTACCAGTGACCAGGTTGATCAGAGACAGGACTGCTGTTCGTGGATGAAGGATCGAGCCTCCACCCATCCTTGCTCTGAATAACCCTTGAAGATGATGTTAGCTCTGCATAACCATAGGCTTTGTATATAGTGTCACTGATGTCACCTGTGATCTGTATAAGTTGTGTCCCCTAGCTCGAGTGCTACCGCACTCAACTCACACACTGAGGTCCGTGATTCGATCCCCGGTACTGGTGAAACATTTGAGCGTGTTTCCTTAAGACACCTGTTGTCCCTGTTCACCTACCTGGGTGTAGTCGACTGGTGTGGGTCGCATCCTGGTGACAAAATTGACCTAATTTGCACGAAATGCTCTACAGAACAAAGGACTTCCTGTATAGTAGTATGTCACTGATATCAGCTATGGTCTGTATACCTTGTAGATGTACTTGTAGAAATTAAGATTATTATATGTACTTGAAGAAATATTATAGCATGATAGACGGAACGTGTACTGATACCTGCCTGGGTGCCAGCACAAGTCCCTCGAGGAGTGAGTAATGACATAAAGAGGAGTGATGACAGTGTAAAAGGCTTTGTTTTCAATGAAGACACATAGATGCTATTGCTTCTGAAGCTTACCATGGCTTCAGATACCCATTCCTTTCAGTTAGGTCTGAAGCTGAAGACATTGCTTCAATTCAGTTCTAAAATTTTGGAAATAATTTAAGCAAAAGGAACATAATTTTTGAGGTATCTTTCTTTATTGAATTAAAAAAAAAGAAAACATTGTGTCAACATATGTTGGATAACCTTCATGTTGGTGAAGATCCAGGAGTGTGCTATTATGATGCATTGTGAAGCCACTAAATATTACTCATTTCTTTACAGGTGTTATACTATGATGATGACGTGAGGGCTATGTGCTGGGTCAGCACCATAACTCTCAAGCTTGGCTGACCACCCCTCAAGCTTACCTGACCATCCTGAAGCTTGACTTCACCGTCTTACACCACCAGTGTCACATCTTTACCCCACACAGTGTCACATCCCTCTGAAGTACTTGAGCGCCGCATCCCCGGCCACAACCACAGTGTGGCATCCCTGGGCAGGGTGGACGGCCCTGTTAGACAATGTCTGACGGAGGGCTGAAGGTGGAGCAGCCGATGGAGAGTGTCGAGGCTCTGTCCAGGGAGGCTGAGGGTCTCAAGGTTAAGCTGGAGGAGGAGAGACAGAAACTCAACGATGTTCCACGTGAGTATATGTTAATGAAGGTTCGAATAGAATGGGACTTCCCCCATAATGAGTTAGTCTGAAGCGTGTTTCTTATCTGGACGGAGTTCCGGGGGGGACAACGCCCCCGCTGCCCGGTCCATGACCAAGTCTCGCGGTGGGGTTATCAAGGTTTTAACCTTGGATAATCTTATGAGAATAGGATAAACAAACATCTCAGTTAGAAGGTTGAGATTTTAGAAAGACCTGCCTAGTATAGGCCAGTAGATCTGCTCTAGTGTGCCGCCATTCTTTTCTCTCTCTCTCTCTCGCTCTCTCTCTCTCTCTCTCTCTCTCTCTCTCTCTCTCTCTCTCTCTCTCTCTCTCTCTCTCTCTCTCTCTCTCTCTCTCTCTCTCTCTCTCTCTCTCTCTCTCTCTCTCTCCCTCATACAAGGAGGAAGGGGAGTGAGAGAGGAGTGTCGACATTCTATTCATGAGGTAATTCACAGTAATGAGAGGTGTATAGTGAGGGTAACACTGGGGCCTCCCCCTCCCCCTCACACACTCATTATTACCCTGCCATCCTGACACACCCAAACATTATCTTCTTAAAGCTCTCTACTGACAGTATCCCAAAAGCTCAGTAAAGCTTTGACGTACCAGCCTGCATAATAATAATAATAATAATAATAATAATAATAATAATAATAATAATAATAATAATAATAATAATAATAATAATAATAATAATATTATTATTATTATTATTATTATTATTATTATTATTATTATTTTTATATTAATATAATAATATAATAATATAATAATAATAATAATAATAATAAATTATTATTATTATTATTATTATTATTATTATTATTATTATTATTATTATTGTTGTTGTTGTTATTATTGCTACTACTGCATTCATTGGAGAGATAGGTAAACCCGTAGGGAATGGGAAACAATAAAGTCGGATCCTAAGAAGAGGAAGGCAGGTCTAGTTCCCTGGATCAAAAGCCTCTCATCAGCATGAAGGAGGAGAGGGGGGAGTGCCATGGCACAGGTGAGGCAGGTGCCAATATTTACGTCTTCACAGGTAAACAGTGACGTCACTGGCACTAGTGCCAGGCTACCCGTATACCTCCATCATCAAGGGGGCCTTGATGCTAGAGAGAGGGGACTCTTGATCTCAGAAATTGGATGAAGAGTGGGCGATTAACCGACAGGAGAATCGAGTCTTCAGCACTGCTTGTGCTAGATGGCCCATGAGGGTTTAGCTTCTCATGAAACATAATTTGAACTTAACTCTAGTAAGTTTATTTAGGTACAGGTACACATAAATACAGTTACACATATTATCATACATAGCAGCTTATGTGTAACTTACCAACCAGCAGAAACCCCCAAAAAATAAGTGACTTATTTCCGTTGTGGTCCTTGATTTTCATTGCAGTCCTTGATATTTCTATTGGGGTCCTTGATATTTCCATTGGTGGCTTTGATATTTCCATTGGGGTCCTTGTATTTCCATTGGGGGTCTTTGTATTTCCATTGGGGTCCTTGTATTTCCATTGGGGTCCCTGTATTCCCATTGGGGTCTTTGTATTTCCATTGGGGTCCTTGTATTTCCACTGGGGGTCTTTGTATTTCCATTGGGGTCCTTGTATTTCTACTGGGGGTCTTTGTATTTCCATTGGGGTCCTTGTATTTTCATTGGGGTCCTTGTATTTTCATTGGGGACCTTGTATTTCCACTGTAGTCCTTGTATTTCCACTGGGGGTCCTTGTATTTCCACTGAGGATCCTTGTATTTTCATTGGGGTCCTTGTATTTCCACTGGGGGTCCTTGTAATTCCATTGGTCCTTGTATTCATTGGGGTCCTGTATTTCCCTGGCCTATATTTCCATTGGGGTCCTAGTATTTCCATTGGGGTCCTTGCATTTCTACTGGGGGTCCTTGTATTTCCATTGGGGTCCTTGTATTTCCACTGGAGCCCTTGTATTTCCATGGTCCTTGTTTTTCACTGGGGTCCTTGTATTTCATTGATCCTTGTATTTCCATTGGGTCCTTGCATTTTCATGGGGTCATGGTATTTCCATTGGGGTCCTTGTATTTCATATGGTCTTGTATTTTCACAGGGTCCCTTATTCCATGGGTCCTGTATTTCCATTGGGTCCTTGTATTTCCATTGCGGTCCTTGTATTTCACTGGGGTCCTTGTATTTCCATTGGGGCCCTTGCATTTTCATTGGGGTCCTTGTGTTTCCATTTGGGTCCTTGTATTTCCATTGGGGTCCTTGTATTTCAATTGGGTCCTTGTATTTCCATTGGGGTCCTTGTATTTACATTGGGGTCCTTGTATTTCCACTGGGGGTCCTTGTATTTCCATTGGGGTCCTTGTATTTCCATTGGGGTCCTTGTATTTCCATTGGTCCTTGTATTTCCATTGGGTTCCTTGTATTTCCACTGGAGGTCTTTGTATTTCCATTGGGGTCCTTGTATTTACATTGGGGTCCTTGTATTTCCACTGAGGATCATTGTATTTCCATTGGGGTCCTTGTATTTCCATTAGAGTCCTTGTACTTCCATTGGGGTCCTTGTATTTCCATTGGGGTCCTTGTATTTCCACTGGAGGTCTTTGTATTTTCATTGGAGTCCTTGTACTTCCATTGGAATCCTTGTATTTCCATTGGGGTCCTTGTACTTCCATTGGAGCCCTTGTATTTCCATTGGGGTCCTTGTATTTCCATTGGGATCCTTGTATTTCCACTGGGGGTCCTTGTATTTCCATTGGGGTCCTTGTACTTCCATTGGAGTCCTTGTATTTCTATTGGGGTCATTGTATTTCCATTGGGGTCCTTGTACTTCCATTGGGGTCCTTGTATTTCCATTGAGGTCTTTGTATTTCCACTGTGGTCTTTGTATTTCCACTGTGGTCTTCACCTGCACTATATACAACACACACATCTTCAGATCTACCAAATAAATCATTGTTAAGTAAGACACATGTGCAACAGTTAGGTATCTTTATTTCGAAACGTTTCGCCTACACAGTAGGCTTCTTCAGTCGAGTACAGAAAAGTTGATAGAAGCAGAAGAGACTTGAAGACGATGTAATCAGTCCATCACCCTTAAAGTTTTGAGGTGGTCAGTCCCTCAGTCTGGAGAAGAGCATTGTTCCAAAGTTTGAAACAATATGGAGTTGAAGTGACAGGATGGAACCTTATATCGCGCCAGGAGGTGAGACAGGTCACTAGTAGGACGTAGATGTTGGGATGTCAGGTCCCTCTCAAAAAGCCTACTGTGTAGGCGAAACGTTTCGAAATAAAGATACCTAACTGTTGCACATGTGTCTTACTTAACAATCTGTCGGTATTTTATACCATTTTAATGTTCAAATAAATCATATTATTGTTGAAGATTGAGACACTTATGCAGCATATGGGAATCTTTATTCAGGAAACGTTTCGCCACACAGTGGCTTCATCAGTCCAATACAAAGAGGAAGGAGTAAGGAGAGGAGGAGTATGAGGTAATCAGTCCCTCAGCCTGGAGTCGATGTGTTCAGTCCATCAATCTTGTAGACTGTACAGCATAGGGCCGTAGACGTGGCCTATATACTGTAGTGAGGTGACTTGAAGCAGACGGAGGCGGGATCATAGTGGTACCATCCACTAGTCGAAGTAGGTCTTTGTCCAAAGGTTGAACAAGCGTTGAAGAATTCTTTGTAAGAAGATCCCATGATGCTGCAGTGTCTGACAGTGTCTGACACTGCAGCATCATGGGATCTTCTTACAAAGAATTCTTCAACGCTTGTTCAACCTTTGGACAAAGACCTACTTCGACTAGTGGATGGTACCACTATGATCCCGCCTCCGTCTGCTTCAAGTCACCTCACTACAGTATATAGGCCACGTCTACGGCCCTATGCTGTACAGTCTACAAGATTGATGGACTGAACACATCGACTCCAGGCTGAGGGACTGATTACCTCATACTCCTCCTCTCCTTACTCCTTCCTCTTTGTATTGGACTGATGAAGCCACTGTGTGGCGAAACGTTTCCTGAATAAAGATTCCCATATGCTGCATAAGTGTCTCAATCTTCAACTTGTCGGTTTTTCAAACCATTCATCACATATTATTGTTGTTGGTTGTGAGCCAAGACTGTGCATCTTAGGCATTTCTAAGTAGGCTGACTCAACTAGGCTGACTTCTATCAGAATTTGTTTGTCTACTAGCTGCCAAATTCAATAGACCTACAGTGTTACATCTGGGTGTCTTTATTTGAAGGCGTTTCACCAATCAGTGACTTTTTTTGTCTTTATTTAATATAAAGACGATGTATGAAGACAGTAGAAGACTATGGGATCAATCCCTCAGGCCTCGGTCTTGTAGGTGATCAGTCCCTAAGTCTTGTAAAACTGTACACGGAAGACAGTGGAAGATGGGGTAATCAGTCCCTGTGGGGCCTTACTTAAGATTCTGAATAAAAAAAATATGTTGAGATGTGGGTGTATGGGAGTGTTACTGTAATTTTTCTCTTCAATATATAAATTCTAAACACAGACACACACACACACACACACACACACACACACACACACACACACACACACACACACACACACACACACACACACACACACACACACACACACACACACACACACACATTACTCCTAAGTAACAGAGTGACTGTCTTGACAGTAACTACGGTGGCAGCGAGGCTCGAGGCTCTACCTCAGCTCAACATTAAGCCCAGAAGAGTGCTGAAGGGTCACCAAGGCAAGGTGCTCTGCTCGGACTGGTGCAATGACAAACGTCACCTGGTGTCATCCTCTCAGGTGAGTCATCTGGTCTCATCCTCTCAGGCGAGTTCTCGCAAAGTGACCCGACCCCTCGGCCCAGTCCTTGACCAGGACTCCCGGTGGATCAGGACCTGATCAACTAAGCTGTTACTGCTGGCTGCACATAGTCCAACGTATGAACCACAGTCCGGCTGATTGGGTACTGACTTTAAGTATCTGTCCATCTCCCTCTTGAAGTCAGCAGGACAGATACCTAAAGTCACTAAATAGGTGTATATGTGCCGAAACGTTTCGCCTGTGCAGGTGGTCAAGAATATGATAAAAGGGATAAACAGAGATCTGTGTAGAGTTTTAGCAAGTCATTGACTTGCAATAACTCTACATAGAGCGAAACGTTGTGACAATTAAAGCATGCTCCATATCTGTGTCATTTCATCCTGATTTACCAGTATTCTGCTGTACTCAAGGCGAGTTCAACGTCAAGTGTCTCCAACTCATTGGTCTCTGTTATATCTATATTTCATCGAACAAGAAGTCACAATACCGCACATAGGAGAAAGGAGCTTACCACGACGTTTCGGTCCGACTTGGACCATTTACAAGTCACAGTAACGTGGAAACAACATCATTAGTGTGACTTGTAAATAGTCCGAGTCGAGCCGAAACGATGTCATAAGCTCTTCTCTTTCTCTGTCTATATTTCAACACTTGTATTAAGTTAGACACTGTGACCCTCCTCGTACAGCGCATCCATGCTAACTAACCTCACACTGTTAGTTTAATAACAGTACTGTGCATCCCATACACCTGTGAAGTGTAGTTACAAGATTACAGTTGTACATAATGGGTCGAGGGACTTGGTCCCATGATGGCTGAGAGACTTACAGTACTAATGAAATACTTAAAAGTTTTATCTTATTTTGGCTTATTCCTGTAACTTAACACCCGCCGCCCCAAGATTGAACCCGGGACCATCAGTTGTGAGTCCAAAGCTAAAAGCTAATAGGTTGGACAGATAAATGAGTGAGGATAGGGCTTGAGGAGCGGCCTAGCATGGGCCAGTAATTTTATTTAGGCATACGTACACATAAATACAATTATCATACATAGTGTTAATCGCCTAGGATAACCCCAAAAAATTCAGACGAACGTTCTCAAGTTCATGTGTTCTTACGATGGTCATGTGTTTCAGGACGGCAAGATGATTATATGGGATGCCTTCACTACCAACAAGGAACATGCTGTCACCATGCCTACCACCTGGGTCATGGCTTGTGCTTACTCTCCCACCGGTACACTCGTCGCCTGCGGGTACTCACTTCCATTCATGTTAAAATACCTGAAAGAATAAGAAGGCATAATACCGTGACTGGAACAATACATAAATAACCCACATATAGGAGAGAGAAGCTTTTCGACGACGTTTCGGTCCGACTTGGACCATTTACAAGTCACATTATATGCGGGTTGTTTGTGTATTAAAACACCTGTCTTGATAAAACACCCGTCTTGTTGAAACATCTGTCTTGTTGAAATACATATCTTGTTAAAACACCTGTCTTTGATTTAACAACATAATTCTGAGTTGAAGGTGTACCTTGTCTCCTTGTGTCCTGTGCCAGGTCAGTGTCCTGTGCCGGGTCAAACAGTGTCCTTTGCCAGGTCAAACAGTGTCATATGCCAGGTCAAATAGTATAACATGATTACTTTTTCATTACGGGCATCTGAATCTCGCTTTTCTTGCTTCCTGTCTATGGTGATGGACGGTCAGAGGGCTTGATAACAAAGTCACCGTCTACCCTCTGAGCTTCGATGAGGACGTCACTCAGAAGAAGAGAGCTGTGGGGACCCATACATCCTACATGTCCTGCTGTACCTTCCCTTACTCTGACCAGCAGGTCAGTCTCCATAAAAAGTCACCCAACACAATTACAGTTAACAGGAAAATTAGGTACCTTACATATGTTAATACACATCCACTTTGTGGGTTATGTATGAGCTGTTACAGCGAGTGTATTGTGATTATTATTGTAGTGTATAATGATGATAATAATAATCTTTATTTCCAGCAGTACAATGATGCAACTTATACAGACCATAGCTGACATCAATGACATACTATATACAAAGTCCCTGGTTATGTAGAGCATTTCCCCGAAATTATGTTAATTTTGTCCCAAAGATGCCACTCACACCAGTCACCTAATGTTTCCACCCGTTCCGGGGATCGAACCACGGACCTTATTATTATTATTATTATTATTATTATTATTATTATTATTATTATTATAGATCCTGACGGGCTCTGGGGACTCTACCTGTGCTCTGTGGGACGTAGAGTCTGGCATCATGTTACAGAGCTTCCATGGGCACCAAGGTGACGTGATGGCACTGGACCTGGCACCTTCAGAGACTGGCAACACCTTTGTTTCAGGGGTCAGTACCTTTAATGTCATCGTTCTAATGCAGTTCTTCCACCCACTTGGTGCCTCTGTAATGGTTGGTTAAATGGGTGTAGAAGTCTGTCGACTACACGAGGGTCGTTAGGGTTGCATGTTACCTGTTCATGAGCACTGGTATTGAGTACCAAGGTTATGTTCAATAATAACCCACATGCAGACACAAACTCAGAAGATTAATGTGTCTGTATATTTCGATCCCTTTCTGAGATCCTTTTAAGCTGAAAATCATTTCATTGTGTTCATTTTGGCTAGTTCCAATGTCTTCAAACTGCTTATTAATTCAAAACAATTCTTGTCATGGTAGAGGTATGGCAGTACAGTGCCGTTGTTCCACAGGGCTGTGACAAGATGGCACTGATCTGGGACATGAGGACAGGACAATGTGTACAGAGCTTCGAAGGTCATGATTCTGACATCAATACTGTCAAGTTCTACCCGTCTGGTGATGCTGTGCTGACCGGCTCTGACGACGCTACCGTAAGTTTAAAAAAAAAAATACAGAATCAAGATTTTATTTTGGTTTGTCATTTACAAAGAAAGTAACTACCATGCCGGGTCATTCCGGGCAGAATTATCCTGGTAAATAATAACTACTTAAGTCTAGACAAGATAATAGTGGTTAACTTTTATTAAATCTTTATTTAATGTTAATACTAATGCTGCTGCTGTCTTGTTATTGCTGCTGATGCTGTGTCAGCACTCAAGGTACATAGGTATTATATTTGTCAGGGAACAGGACAAGAGTTTCCTGACGCAGGTCTTAGTTATATGATAACCCGCAGCTGGAGCTTTTGGTCATCTGACCGAGGCCTTCCATTGGCTTCCCCACCCACCCCTTTAAAAATTATAATTTTGATTATAACCATTTCTATATTCCTAGGCGCTCAAGAACGATAAAATACCCCCATTATAATTATTTATTTTATTATTAATTATTATTATTATTATATTAATTATTATTATTAATATCAAGCATATGTATTAGTTTTATTACAAAATAGTACTCCATTCCTTTTATCATATAGCTATCTGAGGATTACAGACTAACATGACTGGTGGTCATCTTCTATATTAATAATAATATTACTCCAGTTCCTATCAGAAGACTTGGAGCTTTATTCAACTGCGAGGGGATACGTGCATGTTGGTGATCAGTGGTACTTTCCTTTGATTACATAACTATATATCTATCCGGTTACAGTAGACTGTTTGTGGTTACGTTACTTTTTATTTAATGTACGTTGTTTGTGTTGCATACGTGTTTGTAGTTACAGTGATACGTATTTTTGTGGTTGACAGTGTACGTTGGTCTTGTGGTTGTACAGTGATACGTGTTTGTGGTTGACATGTACGTTGTTGTGGTTGACAGTGTACGTTCCTTTGATGAGTTGACAGTGTACGTGTTTGTGGTGACAGTTACGTTGTTCATGGTTGATAGTGTACGTTGTTTTTGGTTGATAGTGTACGTTGTTTGTGGTTGACATGTACGTTGTTTGTGGTTGACAGTGTAGTTTTTTGTGGTTGACAGTGTACGTTGTTTGTGGTTGACAGGTACGTTGTTTGTGGTTGACAGTGTACGTTGTTTGTGGTTGACAGTGTACGTTGTTTGTGGTTGACAGTGTACGTTGTTTGTGGTTGACAGTGTACGTTTTTTCATGAGTGTGGTTGACAGTGTACGTTGTTTGTGGTTGACAGTGTACGTTGTTTGTGGTTGACAGTGTACGTTGTTTGTGGTTGACAGTGTACGTTGTTTGTGGTTGACAGTGTACGTTGTTTGTGGTTGACAGTGTAAGTTGTTTGTGACTGACAGTGTACGTTGTGGTTGACAGTGTACGTTGCTTGTGGTTGACAGTGTAGTTGTTTGTGGTTGACAGTTGTGTTGTTGGTTGACAGTGTACGTTGTTTGTGGTTGACAGTGTACGTTGTTTGTGGTTGACAGTGTACGTTGTTTGTGGTTGACAGTGTACGTTGTTTGTGGTTGACAGTGTACGTTGTTTGTGGTTGACAGTGTACGTTGTTTGTGGTTGACAGTGTACGTTGTTTGTGGTTGACAGTGTACGTTGTTTGTGGTTGACAGTGTACGTTGTTTGTGGTTGACAGTGTACGTTGTTTGTGGTTGACAGTGTACGTTGTTTGTGGTTGACAGTGTACGTTGTTTGTGGTTGACAGTGTACGTTGTTTGTGGTTGACAGTGTACGTTGTTTGTGGTTGACAGTGTACGTTGTGGTTGACAGTGTACGTTGCTTGTGGTTGACAGTGTACGTTGTTGTGTGGTTGACAGTGAAACGTTTTTGTGGTTGACAGTGTACGTTGTTTGTGGTTGACAGTGTACGTTGTTTGTGGTTGTGGACAGTGTACGTTGTTTGTGGTTGACAGTGTACGTTGTTTGTGGTTGACAGTGTACGTTGTTGTGGTTGACAGTGTACGTTTGTTTGTGGTTGACAGTGTACGTTGTGGTTGACATGTGTTTGTGGTTGACAGTGTACGTTGTTTGTGGTTGACAGTGTACGTTGTTTGTGGTTGACAGTGTACGTTGTTTGTGGTTGACAGTGTACGTTGTTTGTGGTTGACAGTGTACGTTGCTTTGGGTTGACAGTGTACGTTGTTTGTGGTTGACAGTGTACGTTGTTTGTGGTTGACAGTGTACGTTGTTTGTGGTTGACAGTGTAAGTTGTTTGTGACTGACAGTGTACGTTGTGGTTGACAGTGTACGTTGCTTGTGGTTGACAGTGTACGTTGTTTGTGGTTGACAGTGTACGTTGTTTGTGGTTGACAGTGTACGTTGTTTGTGGTTGACAGTGTACGTTGTTTGTGGTTGACAGTGTACGTTGTTTGTGGTTGACAGTGTACGTTTTGATGTCGTGTTGGGTTGACAGTGTACGTTGTTTGTGGTTGACAGTGTACGTTGTTTGTGGTTGACAGTGTAAGTTGTTGTGGTGACAGTGTACGTTGTTTGTGGTTGACAGTGTACGTTGCTTGTGGTTGACAGTGTACATGTTTTATTTGTGGTTGACAGTGTACGTTGTTTGTGGTTGACAGTGTACGTTGTTTGTGGTGGACAGTGTAAGTTGTTTGTGGTTGACAGTGTACGTTGTTTGTGGTTGACAGTGTACATTGTGGTTGACAGTGTACGTTGTTTGTGGTTGACAGTGTACGTTGTTTGTGGTTGACAGTGTACGTTGTTTGTGGTTGACAGTGTACATTGTGGTTGATGACTTTTGTTGTTTGTTGGGTTGACAGTGTAGTTGTTGTGGTTGACAGTGTACGTTGTTTGTGGTTATGTACATGTTGTACGTTGTTTGTGGTTGACAGTGTACGTTGCTTGTGGTTGACAGTGTACGTTGTTTGTGGTTGACAGTGTAGGTTGTTTGTGGTTGACAGTGTACGTTGTTTGTGGTTGACAGTGTAGTTGTTTGTGGTTGACAGTGTACGTTGTTTGTGGTTGACAGTGGTACGTTGTTTTGTGGTTGACAGTGTATGTTTTTGTGGTTGACAGTGTACGTTATTTGTGGTTGACAGTGTACGTTGTTCGTGGTTGACAGTGTACGTTGTGGTTAACAGTGTAGGTTATTTGTGGTTGACAGTGTACGTTGTTTGTGGTTGACAGTGTACGTTGTTTGTAATTGACAGTGTACGTTATTTGTGGTTGACAGTGTACGTTGTTTGTGGTTGACAGTGTACGTTGTTTGTGGTTAACTGTGTAGGTTATTTGTGGTTGACAGTGTACGTTATTTGTGGTTGACAGTGTACATTGTGGTTGACAGTGCAGGTTGTTTGACCTACGCGCTGACCGTGAGATCGCTGTCTACACCAAGGAGAGTATTATCTTCGGCGTCAACTCTGTTGATTTCTCCGTTAGTGGTGAGTATCTCCGTCCTTTCTTCTCTTAGGGTGAGTATCCCCGTCCTTTCTCCTGTTAGGGTGAGTATCCCCGTCCTTTCTTCTGCCATGGTGAGTATCCTGTTCCATTCTTCTGTCATGAGGTGTACAATAAAATCTATGATATCTGGTATTAGTATAGCAAGTACGCTACTCTGACATGGACTATCATGAAGGTATCTTCTGTAAGGCAGTATAAGCGGGAACCATGGTGAGCTAGAATATGACAGTAGCCCACTGCTGGTGTTCTTACTTTATAACCTACATATATAGAATACAGAAGCATTACACCGCGGGTGTACCCAATTGAGTCTAAAAAAATGTGTGACAGATGGGGGCGGAATGTTTTCCTATATCTCAAGTTAATTATCATCTCCATGACCGGGTGTGGACGTGTCAGTGGTTCATTACTTTGTAATTTGTTCATAATTGTAGCAATGTAGAAGAGTGTAGATGGTTCATTACCTTTGTAACTTGACACAACTGTGACCAGATCTACCTGGAGTTCATTACCTTAGTAACTAGTTCAGCTATCATACCTTTGGAGTCCAGTCCCTGGACCCATTTTGTACCTCTGTAATCTTTTGACTACCGCCCACAGGATGGGTATGGGGTGCATAATAAGGATATTAAACTGAAAAATTCCATATCAACTATAATTATGCTCCTCAGTCACGAAGACACGTTTAGAATCCACTTATTGATTTGTAATCTCTATTTCATGCATGAGTATTGATGGGGAGAAAGGAGAGTGGGCAGTGCTGGTATTTTATTATTCATGAAGGAAGAGGACAGTGTCTCCTGAGTCCTGACGAGGGTCTTAATCTCATGCAGATTCCTTGACTAATTCAGCATCTGCTGGTCTATCCCAGCTGAGTTCTACACCACAACACCAATGGAGCCTCTGACGTGTAAGTTTATTTAGGCACAGGGAGATATAATGGTTGTCAGGAAACAGGACGAGTGTTGTCTTCACACGGGTATTAGTCATACGGTCCACATCTAAAGTTTTTGGGCATCTGACCGAGGCCTTTCACTGGCTTACTAGGACCGTTACTATTTTTAATATATGTAGATGATGTGTTAGGGACAGACTCAATCCTACATTAAGCTTTATCAAGTGTGAGGATTAATTATGTATATTTTTATTGTGTGAGATGAACGTTGAATACTGAGTGTATATTTCTGTGTTGGATCTATGTTCCTGAGTGTACATTTCTGTGATCAGGGCGGCTGTTGTTTGCTGGTTACAACGACTATACAGTCAACGTGTGGGATACCCTCAAATGCCACCGTCTAACTATCCTCTACGGCCATGAGAACCGAGTTTCCTGCCTCAAGATGTCACCAGACGGTACCTCCATATCCACCGGATCTTGGGATTTCACACTCCGGGTAATATAGCTTTTACTAGCATTTTATAATTGCTCGACGGGAGATGATAATGTCTGGGTTAGGTTAGGTAAGGTTCGTCAGGAAACAGTTTCCTGACGCGGGTCTTAGTCAGATGATGGAGCTTCTGGTCATCTGACAGAGACCTTGTTGGAGATGATCGATATTCATATTCATCTGTACGACTTTCTTTTTACATTAGCCAACTCAGTAATAATGAGCATTTATAAAGCATGATTCAGTAGATGTCTCGCTGTTAATTCACATACATCACAGTTCAAATGATTCTTCTAATTTCAACATCTCTAAATTTCCCTCAGAGTACAGGCACTGTACTCTCCACTTCTACAACTTTCCTTCAGAGTACAGTACTCACTCTCCACTTTACAACATCTCTAAATTTCCTTCAGAGTACAGGTACTGTACTCTCCACTTCTACAACTTTCCTTCAGAGTACAGGTACTGTACTCTCCACTTCTACAACTTCCCTTCAGAGTACAGGTACTGTACTCTCCACTTCTACAACTTTCCTTCAGAGTACAGGTACTGTACTCTCCACTTCTACAATTTCCTTCAGAGTACAGGTCTGTACTTCCACTTCTACAACTTTCCTTCAGAGTACAGTACTGTACTCTCCACTTCTACAACTTTCTTCAGAGTACAGTACTGTACTCTCCACTTCTAGAACTTCCCTTCAGAGTAAGGTACTGTACTCTCCACTTCTACAACTTTCCTTCAGAGTACAGGTACTGTACTCTCCACTTCTACAACTTCCCTTCAGAGTACAGGTACTGTACTCTCCACTTCTACAACTTTCCTTCAGAGTACAGGTACTGTACTCGCCACTTCTACAACTTTCCTCAGAGTAAGTACTGTCCCTGCCACTTCTACAACTTTCCTTCAGAGTACAGGTACTGTACTCTCCACTTCTACAACTTTCCTTCAAGTACAGGTACTGTACTCTCCACTTCTACAACTTCCCTTAGAGTACAGGCACTGTACTCTCCACTTCTACAATTTCCTTCAGATACAGGCACTGTACTCTCCACTTCTACAACTTCCTTCAAGTACAGCACGTATCTCCACTTCTACAACATTCTTCAAGTACAGGCACTGTACTCCCCACTCTACACACTTTCCTTCAGAGTACAGGTACTGTACTCTCACTTCTACAACTTTCCTTCAGAGTACAGGCACTGTACTCTCCACTTCTACAACTTTACCTTCAAGTACAGGACTGTACTCTCACTTCTACAACTTTCTTCAGAGTACAGGCACTGTACTCTCCACTTCTACAACTTTCCTTCAGAGTACAGGTACTGTACTCTCCACTTCTACAACTTTCCTTCAGAGTACAGGCACTGTACTCTCCACTTCTACAACTTTCCTTCAGAGTACAGGTACTGTACTCTCCACTTCTACAACATTCCTTCAGAGTACAGGCACTGTACTCTCCACTTCTACAACTTTCCTTCAGAGTACAGGTACTGTACTCTCCACTTCTACAACTTTCCTCAGAGTACAGGTACTGACTCTCCACTTCTACAACTTACTTCAGAGTACAGGACTGTCCTCTCCACTTCTACAACTTTCCCTCAGAGTACAGGTACTGTACTCTCCACTTCTACAACTTTCCTTCAGAGTACAGGACTGTACTCTCCACTTCTACAACTTTCCTTCAGAGTACAGGTACTGTACTCTCCACTTCTACAACTTTCCTTCAGAGTACAGGTACTGTACTCTCCACTTCTACAACTTTCCTTCAGAGTACAGGTACTGTACTCTCCACTTCTACAACTTTCCTTCAGAGTACAGGTACTGTACTCTCCACTTCTACAACTTTCCTTCAGAGTACAGGTACTGTACTCTCCACTTCTACAACTTTCCTTCAGAGTACAGGTACTGTACTCTCCACTTCTACAACTTTCCTTCAGAGTACAGGTACTGTACTCTCCACTTCTACAACTTTCCTTCAGAGTACAGGTACTGTACTCTCCACTTCTACAACTTTCCTTCAGAGTACAGGTACTGTACTCTCCACTTCTACAACTTTCCTTCAGAGTACAGGTACTGTACTCTCCACTTCTACAACTTTCCTTCAGAGTACAGGTACTGTACTCTCCACTTCTACAACTTAAAGTCTGCCTAACAATCTTCCCTCAATTCCTTCATAAATGTTATTTTACTAACATTCCAACAGAAGGTCAGTCTCCCAAAAACAGTTGTCTCCAGTCACCGCCAGTCAAAAATGCTCACGCAAGTCTGTTAAATGTTTAATATCGTACTAAAAACCTCGTTAACTTCCTGTCATCCTTAATGGGACGATCCTGACACCTCTGTCCTCCCACCATAGATTTATATACTCAATGGTCATCCTACTCTGCTTTATCCTTTCGAAATATGCGCAACACCTGAACAGCCCGTGTTCAGTCCTCTGAATAACACATA